ATTTTATGTCAAAAGCCTTTTCCCGAGGCATATTTAATATGTAATATAAACAAAATGAACACTTCAAAAGAAATAACTTAATAAACCAAAATGGATTTTCATTATATATTTCAATGCGTTGTATATTTAACCTCATGTTGGGTTCATAAGCAAACCGAATAATACTTTAATTATTGCGGTGCCTGAAGCATTATATGAAATTTATGTCAGCTTTTGAAACCTGGAAGTCAGCCAATAAAAAGGGACTTCAGAAACCTATTAATTCCCATGTAGCATATATTTTAGAATAAAAATATTATCATTAACTTAATCGAGTTAAATCCTCGATTGCTCCCCTACTCGAAGTAAATGAAATCACTTTATAAATTCTCCTTATGGCTCATTTGCATTGTTATTATATTAATCAAAAACAGCATTGCAGTAATCAAATGTTTTTATTTAAATTTGTTTAGCACTTTCTTTGGAATTCGCTACTCTGTCTTTGGACCCTAAACATTGCTGGGCGGGGCTTTTCTCACGTTCCAAATAGAAGTCTTTGTAAGGGTTAACAAAAACCGATTTTTGATATTCAAATTCAGTTAATTCTTGTTTATTATGCAACTTCAATAAAATTGTATTAATTAAAGAGTATGACTTTTTTATTTATTTTATTTAAGACATTCAGACGAACTTTTATTGTGAACTGAAGGTGTTATTTGACTTTTACTGTGTGATTTTCATTTACGAAATTCATCGTTTTCAGATTACAGAATTGCCCCCTCCTTCTTCAATACACGCAAGGAAGCTTCTAAAATCAGTCAAAAGAAATTATATCAAATTAATTTTATCACTCAGCAGTCACTTCTATAAATTTGAATAAGATGCATGAGCTACTGTAGGAATAGATATAATTGAATGTGATGTGAATAAATGAGTCTGCTCTTTTTTCCGTCAACACTAAAGCCTCCGTGATAGTAGCAGACGTGTAACAGGGCCATATTTCAACCAACTTCATTTAAATCTCTTTCAGATGCGGTTTCGACATGTAATTGATAAGTACTTTCACCGCCAATTAACTTTATTACTTAATCGCCCTTGCGGAATGCAATATCTCAAATGTTTGGCTTTTTGTTGATAAGAGTTTCCAGGAACATTGTAAAGTTCTTCACTAAAAGTGAGGGGATGTAAGAGCTGGTGATACCAGTTAATATCTACACTCTCTACTTTGTATTACAAGAGATTTGAGAGAGAGAGGACAAGTTGTTTTGGCAATAAAATGATGTTGTTTTCCTATCCGTGTTCCATCTGGTATCATACAATGATTGTTTTAACAACATAAAGTGCTATTGCTGTAAGATTCCCCTCGTTGTGATTGTTTTAACAACATAGATAGCTGTTAAGTGTAAGATTTCTTTTGCCGATTTTGCATTTACATGCTTTCATCTTGTCAAGTGAAATTCATTAGCAAAAAGAAAATTTCCAAGTTTTTAGATTGATGTACAGTATTAAATAGTATTTCTCATTTTTCAACGTTTCTTGGGTTTTGGTTTTTTCTTGTGTTTTATTTTGGTTTTAAGGTAAATCAGTAGTTTAATAAAACTACGATTAAGTAATGTCGAGTAAATTGAATGCGATATAAATTCAAAAGGCTTGCTTTGTCGGTATAAGTTTCTTTTTCAATTTATTCTCTGTCACATAATACCTTTGAGTCACGAAGTCACAGAGGTATCGTAGAAAATGAGGGAAGGGAGAATTCAAAACATCTGAACTTCTGATGATCTTTTACACAATTGATATTTTAGAATTGAAATAAATGCATCAGGTAAAATGTCTTAACAGATATGAAATTTGTGTCTTGTAGTAACAATACTATTACGTTGGAAATTAAGCTATTTGCAAAGTTTGCAAACTTATTTGTATGACAGTTCCTTTAACACAAATAATAAAAAGTAAGATGGAATTCTGCTCGAAGAGACTGTGAGACATTTGTTTATTTTTATATACTTTGATGGAGGTTCTTTGTGACTGACAACTTGGAATTGTATTGCTGACATGATGCATCAGCAAAGGAAGTATCTCTGTCAAATCCAGAGAATCTCTTTAGTCGTGATTTATGGAGGACATTCCGCACTTTACCTCTTAACAAATTACACTTACTGTTTTGTAAATACCATGTCATATGACCACGCGGCCCATGTATCACTCCGCGATTAAAAAAGTAATTTGTCAGACAAAAATGATGCAAACAATTACGATGAAGAGCGAAAAAACATCAATCCCTTAGCGGAAAATCACCTTCTGTCTTATTTTACATGTTAATCATTCGGGTTTTCTGTGTTTACTATGTGAGGAAGTGCATGTTACAAATTCTGTACTCGGAGTAAAGACTTGCGCCATGTGCTATCCTCATTATGTAGTTCACTCGCGGAATTACAATGAAATTAACAGCGGAAGTTAATTGAAAGTATTGGGCGGAACGGATCTGTATTATCAATGTGTTCTTCAGGGCGCTTAACAAATGTTTAACTGTTAAAATAATAAGCTTAGATTCCTATTTGATAGCAAAGAAGCGGGTGCCAGGCACAGCAGGCACGGATAAATCATGCTTAACTTCATGAGCAAAAAACTGAGGAAATTAGAGCACTATCGTTGAAATCCCGCTATAATAAAGATAGGTATTTAGTAATATTTCTCTTTCAGTTGAATGACATTTACAGATAACAGAACAAAAAGTAAAGAAAGATAAGTAAATAAAAATATGAAAAATGACAGTTGTGCGCGCATTTCGACATTGGCGAAGAATACCACAATGTTTCGTTTTGTAAAAAAAACAGCTCCTTTTATAAAAAAATGGAGGTTTACAACTGAACTGATATTTGTTAGTGAAAGACAATAAATTTAGAGTGATGTTTGTAAGATATGTTTATCAGACAATATAAATGAATCTTTGTGTATGGAAGAATGTAAAGAACCTTCTCTGGCGGCTCAATTCTGAAAAACATCCATTTAATCTATAAAATGAAATATAATAAAGACATAACAATATTCCAATGATTTTTCTACGAGTGTCATGCTTTACATTTGTACACACATATTGTTACTGTGTAAACCTAAAAAAAAAATATCAAAATGTTGTTATAAATAAGATGCAATTTATTGTATGCTGTCAGTCAAATTCTTCCATTGGTCTCAATAATAGACTATTATGAAGAAAATCGTGTTTTGTAAGATGCACAGCTTGAGTTCAGAGAAGAAAAGCCAACTATTGATGCTTTCATTCATTCAAAAATGTTTAAAACGTCGTATTTTGTGTGTTGTTTTTTTTTTAAGTTTTTTTATTGTAAAATTATATATAAAGAACTTACATATATAATGGACTTTGGTATATACTAAGTAATTGTGATATTATAGGTGATTAGGAACATGTTCAGTAAAGTCAAATCATGTAAACGATTATGTAAGAGGTATCTTATTTTTTAATTAAGCTTTAGGTTTTTGTCAAAATCAGGTAATTTTACCGATTGCATCTTCCCGTTTTATGACTCGTACAAACACTTTTGCAGTGGTTTCTAAAATATTGATAAAAGTTTAGTTATTGCCTTTAGGAAACAAACGAAATTGTCAAACCGATTAAAACATTTAATTTACAATAGCATGCAGAGGATTATCTTGATGATCTATTTAGAGACCGAGAGGTTTTGGGCCCAAGAAGAATTGGAAGATTTTTAATCCCAAAAATAACGTAAGGAACATCATTGAGGTCCAAAAGTCTAAAAACATAAAAATTGAATTACTTACATAGCATTTTGGGTACTTAAAACTGAACTCAAACGATATTAAATAAATATTTTCATATTAAATTGAAAATTATATGTTTTGGCTATTTAAGTCACATTTAGATATACTTTTTACAAATAAAATAATCATTCAGGAAAGACTGAGTGAGGAATAATCTGATATTTTGCACGCAACTTATTAGTCTAGTCCTTCATCAAATGGAACATGAATCCCGGATTATCCGTCCCGTCATGTCAAAAATCTCCCTGTAACCTTGAATTTCTTAAATGTACCATTTAGTTTCAATTTTGTGGATTTAAAGTTGACAGTTTATAAGATGCTGTTAGCGGTCACAACCAACAGTATAAAACCATGTAAGACTGCATGGTTGAGCAGTCTGGTCCGTCTTTATACTTGTAGCAAAACTTAATACTGGTTATTTTTCAGCTTTTGATATTAAGTGTTCTTGAGGGTTCTCCCCTTTTAAAGTAAATTGTAATAGATAATTCCTAAAGCTATGCTTTGTCGCTTTGTTACTCATTTGTTGGATAAATACTTAAATGTTGCGGTTGAGATGTGAGAATTTTCTATATCGAAATAAACGACAACAAAATATTCTTTTGTTCAAAACGATATTCATTGATACAATTAATTTAACATGATATGCTGTTGCTTGTAATGCTGTCTTTTCACTTTATCTAATGTATATTGAAAGACATTTTAAGAAATTAAGTATAACATTTCGGTTTAATTGCTTGAGTACGATTATAAGATATATTGTTCTTTTCGATTGATTCCGAGCACAATTGACTTATTCAAAAATATTGATAGTCTGCAGGTAGTCTGTCGTAGATAATTATTATTATTAAGTTGTATTTCATGACATTTTTTAAAACCCTTAACCTGCTGAACCAAAATTGTTTAATTTTTGCCACCAGTATAGTGGCAAAGTGAGCATGCAGATCTGTGCAGTCTAGCCAGTTTAACACTGTTTGCAGCTCATATTGAAATCCCTTACAGTCGTTAATTCAAAGCAAAGCATATTCATTACAAAACATGCTAAAGGTTAAGATAGGGACAGGGAATACTATGGACACGTTATTCCATGCAGAATATATATTAAACAATGTATATAATGTCACAGTTCGGTGATACTACATTCATGATTTGTCTTTCAATTGCTGATCACCATTGTGTTAAGAACGCACTTTATACATATTTTGTATTTTCTTTTCTTTCTTCAGATCAAAGACCATTGTATCTCAGCGTGCTTCTATCATATATATCAGCCCTGCAAAGTGGCATTTATCTTGGTAAGTAATTTCATACGAATTTTATTACTACCTACAAAGTGGCCAATTAAACATTGCACTTTCAACAAATAATACATGGAAAATACTACACTACCAGTGTAACCGGTTACAAAACAATATCTTGCATCACTGAGGTCTTCTACAGACCTACCACAAAGTATTTACTCATTTCTTTCAAATCTCAAAAGTAGAGAAACAGAAATCCTTAAATATATTTTGTAAAGGAACCATGAGATACCTACAGCTGATTAACTTAAAAACCCCGATACAAATATTTCAATTTACTTGTAGACTTTCTACAAGTATAGATATTTATATTCAATTTTATTTGTATGAACTTGTATAACTTTAGTGTTCTTACATTTTTCTGGTCTTTCGGGATCATTCCTTCTAACTTTTTTAAGTGTTGAAAATCGAATACCGCTCAAGCCGGTGTTAGAGTGCGTGAGGGATATTGCACTTTTTCATTATCCCTCATGTACAGACTCAATTAAACCGAGTTGGCAATTTTCGTGTTATTCCGTTGTGATTAATGCTTCAGATTTTTACTATGAAATTCAATCCTTGCTCTGCTCTTCTCTGATGTGTTTTGTTCGCGCTGATTAATAATTATAACGGTAACATTTTGTAAAATTTGAGAAAAGAATTGTGTAATATATGAAAGGTTACCGGAAAACAAAATCGTTAAATTGCTCTAATACTGTTATAATACCTCCAGTTTTTTATCCGACGAGCAATAAAGAGTATTACGTTTATTATATGAGATATTTCTAAAAATGAATTATCACTTCTTTCATGTCACTATAACTCATCATAATGTGTATAATTTAATGTTTTGTGGTAATATTATGTTTAATTCATCGCGCTGTAAATATAAGCATTTTCAGAATTGAAAGCTTTAGCATAAATCTAATTCGTGTTTTAGTCCTTTTTACTCTTGCTTTTTTGGTGATGATCAATAATCTACTAAAGCCCATCTTATACCCTCTTACTAAGTTGTGTTCTTTGATGGTTAAGAAGTTATTACATTCGATCATATTATGAGACTTACTTCAAATAAAAGGGTATCAAACTGTATAGTATATAAGATTATTTTTAGATTTACTGTGAACATATTTTAAATGTTATAAGTTTTGATATTGTTAGATGCAAAGCTCTGAACTTCAATACCTACTCGTAGTCATTTGTGAAAAATACATGGAAAAAATTTGTAGATGCAAAATATTCTATATAGGTCCTTGGCGATGTCGTTTTGTTGTTGGCTTTAGTGATAATGAAGACACACCAAATGTATTTGAATGAGATCCTATAAATGAATATACGTACTAGCAGTGCAGAAATAATGAGGGCAATTCCTCATAATGTATCCGTAAAATTGAAAACAAGATGACAAAAATTAACATGATTTGTCTAAACATAAAATAATTGAGTATATACTACGATTTTAGAAAAAGCCTTTTTTTCAGAATATAGTGTATTAAATCATCTATGAATTTTGCAACAGTTGATAAATATCATTATAACAGATACAAGTTTTTTCACATGTACTTATAATTAGAGAGAACAAAAAAGATGCATTTTTCGAGAGTTTCAGCCTTTCCCAAGAGATTAGAGTAGAATCTGCTTTTTAACCACTGCATTTATTTGCATAAAATGATAAGAAGTAATCACAGATTAATCTTTTTTTTTTTCAATTTTTATCTAACAAGCGATTAATCAGTAAAGAGGCACCATCTGCATGAAGTATCTGAAGGCGGGAACTTTAATTGAAAATTAACTTTCCTTGACATACCTTCATTAATAAAGCATTTTTGATTTAATTAACTTTTGTACCTTATATCAAGATTTGATTGTTTGGAAGGGTCATTATCATGAAACGTTTATAGCTATTAAATTAAAATATAAAAAGTCTCTTTAATGTATGATGATGCTAGATGATGCTTATAACTTATGATGCTGGTGATGATGATGATGAATGATGATGATGATGATGAATGATGATGATGATGATGGTGATGAATGATGATGATGAATGATGATGATCATATTGCATTATAAGTATACAACTATAACAGTGACTCTATTTTGATTTACATTGTAATTCCCTGGCAGGATTCGAAACCATAGCAACCTGAACCACTAGGCCACGGACGCCCTTTTATTTGTAACTTTGACTATTTGAATATTTTGATAATAGACATATCTTCAAAGAAGATTGTTAATGAAATATATAGCATCATTTAGTAAAAACTGGTCGTTAGACATAACCTTATGTTTTACAACTGGATAAACTTGAAGAAAGGAAAAAATTGAAACTTATGTATTTTCACAAGGGATTTTATTTTTTGTAAAAAAAAACATGTTCATTATCAAAAAAACCTTCTATAGTATGGATATACTAACATTTACCGGAAATACTTGACGACTCTCAAATAGCTGCACGTGTATATAGATTTAATTTAAATCAAATGATCGTACTGTAACGAAAACACATTCATTGAAGTATTTCCTCGATTCGAAAATTTGATATTAATCACATATTTGTCAGGTGCTCTCTTTTGAATAGATATTTTTCAATTAGGTTTCAATGAACATGTATGCAAAGAAGTTAGGCAGCTGAAGAACTACATATGTCTTTTTTCAACATCAAAGACTATCTGATAAAAATCGTTCTTGAATTCATTTACAATTTAAATTAAAACATGTTAAACTTATGATTTGTGGTAAGAGAGTCTATTTCATTAACCAAGCTATCTTTTGCACTTTCGAAATATTAAGGAAAACTTAGACGAAGTTGCTTCTTGTTGACTACAAGGTATAATGATACATAATATTTGTATTGAACGAAGAAAGACAAATTAAATAATAAATAAATAAATAAAGATAATAAGAACAAATAAATATGCTCGTTCTAAACTTATTTCTTACATATGGCCATGGTCTACTCATAGAAATACCCTTTTGAAGGACCCCGGAATATATTGTTATAAATGCGTGTCTAGAATTTTGATATGATACTTTTGTATACGCTTATGGTATTGTAATGTGAATTTGATATTTTGAATCGTGTACGAAATACGATAACACTAAACATTACCCTGAAATTCGTAGAAGTTTTACAAAACGCTCTTAAAGAGTTCTAGCATACTCATCTTCTAGTGCTATATTTTTATTCGCGTATGATATTATGATGTGAATTTGATATTTTATATCATTTATTCTTATTTAATTAAATATGAGAACTATGTTCATATTTGATTTTTTTTTTAAGAAAAATATTGATAACTGCTATAAGTCGAACACGATAACGTCTGCACTAATCTGTCGTACCATTATGATACCATTATGATATAAGGGTTTGTGCAAGTTATTCGGTTATTACATTTTGCATTTTTATTGCAATATAGAAGAATTAAAGTGAGTATGGACAGGTAAATCGGTTAAAGAGTTTAGATTATGAAGAGTTTATTCATTCTTTTATCCAAATTAGACATATTCAGTAAGAATTTCATCGATTTCAATAAATCTGTAAGATTAAAATATTTTACTGATGAGCAAAGTATATATTTAAAGATCCTATATGTTGTAATTAAGAATTTAACAACACTTGTAACAACACAGTGAAATTTTATATATGTATATACATGTAACTATTATTATAAAACAATTTTCAACCATCCAAAACAATGTTAAATATGTACTGCAAATGTTTAAACGCATATGAAAATATTGGAAAATATGCATTAATTTCTTACTTAGACTATATAGAAAATAATTTTCTAATTACCTCCCTTTATTTACATGAAATATCTTTTCAAATAATGCATTTTGGAACTTATAATATTGATAATTCTTCATTTGAGCATCACATTCATGATATAAAACCATAAAAAAATAGGTTACAGGATCTTTAACTCTTTTCTGAAATTCGAACGCTGATTACGGGTACTAGCGCACTCACGTTCAAATGTTTCATTTCATTTTGTTTCATTGTAAAATGCGTACAATAAATTGTATGGTTTTTACCAGACTGATAAATGAACCAACAATCTTCCAGACAAGATTTAGTATCATTTGTTTCCCACTTTAAACTGATAAATTGTCGTTTTCCACACCAAATGCATTCAATCGCATTCTTTTACATGGCTGATGCACCAAACAAACGTGCATCTTTAGTGATAAGACGTAATTAATAACATGATAGTCTTGCAGGTTTTTGACACGTAATGTATATTTGTATACTATATCTCGCCCATATTTTAACATCGTGTGAGGCTTATCACAGCAAGGAAATGTCAATTAAAAAAAACACTGCTAAGCCGAATTTATACAGCATACATCAGAATAAGTTTTTTTTTCTGTTTTTTGTTCAATAACATGCTAATTATACGATAACTTAATTTTTATGCGACTGCACCTTGTAATTACATACATATGTATCTGAAAGAAAGAAAGTCATGAGCGGAAAATGATACAAAGGGAAAATCACACTATAAATTGGCACGCCGCTGCCGGGATTCGAACCATGGGTCATTAGTGTCGGTCCAGTATGCTTAACACTACAGCACAGCGGGCCGTTGCCCTTATAAATTTAAGTTATCCTTGACTTTATTGTGACGTCTTCAATTTTATTACCATAGCGACGAGCTATTTATGTATATAAGAAGTGTATGCTGTTAACTAAAAATATTTTTCGAGAATAAAAATAAGATAAATATCATTTTTAGACTTTGCTCTTGATATATTTGATTAGTCGTTCATATTTTGATATTCCTGACTGAAAAAAGAACATAAATATTTTGGACGGACTATTTTTATCTTGTCAAGAAAATAACTATCAATCAATTTATGGCATCCATTTTCGAAACATTTAACGCAAGATTAAGATCTCAAAACTTCAAATTTCCCTACATGACGTCCAGGTATGTGTTACAAAACGTTACTTTATCATCAGAGGTAGTGAGTGCACGTGCCCGATTTAAACACCCAGATACCATCAA